GTACTAATTGCGCCCCATTATTGGCAGACCTTTTTTTGAATTCATATGAAGCAGAGTTTGTCCAAAATCTTGTACGTGAAAAGAAGATAACACTTGCTGTGGCCTTCAACTCGACATTTAGATATATCGACAACATATTGTCAATTAACAATGGCTATTTCCATTCTTATGTCGATACGATATATCCTGGTGAACTTGAGAAAAGATACCACAGAGTCTGACACATCTGTTTCATATTTGGATATTTTGCTTGAAAAGGACCTTAATGGTAATCTAACAACCAAGCTTTATGATAAACGTGATGACTTTAACTTTTCAGTCGTCAACTTTCCTTACTTATGCAGCAATATACCTTCATCACCTGCATACGGGGTATATATCTCTCAGTTGATTCAATACGCAAGAGCATGCTCTACGTATGTACAATTTCTAAAACGAGGTAAATTATTGACAAATAAGTTGATAAAACAAGAATATCAGCTGTCTCGTTTAAAGTCATCATTTCGTAAGTTCTATGGTCGATACAATGACCTTGTCAGCAAATACAATTTATCGAGTCAAATGCTGACTGACGTTTTTCATACTAATTGTTAGGCCATTATTTACACACTGAATTGTCGACGGATTTTTCCGTTATTTCCCGATCATGACAAGGAGCACACGGCGGGTGTGACCGGTCGGCAGGGGATGCTCACTCCTCCATGGCACCTGATCCCACCTCTGATGTTTGGAGGTCCATGTTTGCTCTGCTCCTATTTTGTATTGTTTGATGGACTTTTGAGCCTGAATACTGTCTGTTATCTTCATATATTTCATGAATAAAGCATGACTTCAGAGAGCGATCGCTTAAAAAATAAAGACTAAAAATTATTAGATATCATTTGTATACCACATGAACTTATGATTTTTAACTTTTTTGACGTTGTTTTCAAAAAAATAAAAAAAAGTTCTGAGTTTCGAAGACTTTATTTTCATAACAAGTAATGTTTTGCTACATCTTCTCCAATTTGTTGCCCATTCTATCAAATCATTAATTAAATTCTGTGATCTCATTTGCCTGTAATTTTTCCAGAGAGAGAATAATTTTTTGAAGCATTCATAAAACGTGAAAACGCGTCTATTTTCTGTTTGTCATGTTTTGAATGAGGTACTTGTTACATTGCAATTTGTCGCTTGTGTGGCGCAGTGGTTAGAGCATCTGCTCTAGAATCATGAAGTAAGGAGTTGATCCTTATGTCGCAGGTTCGAATCCCACCGTGGGACATGGAGACCGGTCCTTCGTATGAGACCATATAAACCAAGGCCCTGTAGTGCAGTAGGTGCTGGCACGAAAAAGATCCCTCACTGCTCAATGGCCGTAAGTGCTGAGTATAGGACAAAATTTGCAGCTCTCCACCGGCAAGTGGTGGCGTCTCCATATGAGTGAAAAATTCTCGAGTGGGAAGTTAAACAACATACAAACACAACATTGCAATTTAGTTTCATTTCTACAAACATTTTGTTCAGTTCTGTGCAAATTCCTAGGGACATGTCCAGTCTTGAAATATCAGCGGACGGACATATTTTTAGCTCTTCTAATACAAAGGCTCAAAGAACTAATGCTATGGCCATTTGTGCAGTGTGTGGTGTGCGGTGTGTGTAAACTTTTTAGAATATTGGCAATAACTCAAGAACCCCTTGGCCAATTATTGTCAAATTTGTCACAGAGTATCCTTGGCCCCAGGGCTCCAGTTTATACTAAAACTAGGGCTGTGACCCTTAAACAAGGGGAGATAATTAGGAAAATAGAAACAAAAGTACTGGTTGCTAAAAAATCTTCTCAAGAACCACTGGGCAGATTATCACCAAACTTACACAAAAGGATGAGGTAATGTTGTAGATTAAAATTTGCATGGGGAATCTCCCTGGGGCAAAGGACGTGGTCTCAAGGTCACTTCAAAGTTGACCAAAAACTACATTTTATTAAAATGTTGATATTTTGCTTACTATAAGGACTAGGATCATTAAATCTTGTCAGTTGATGCATCTAAGGACCTCATATCATGTGACTCAAAAGTAGGTCATGGTGACCTACTTTTTAAATTTTGCGGCCATTCTTTTTCAAAATGATTAAGAGGCATATTTTGAAAAATTTAAGGCCTATGATCATCAGATTTTGTGAGTTGATGTATCTTGGGTCTTCGGAGTACGTCAACTAAAAAATAGGTCACCTTGACCTACTTTTTGAATAAATTTGCTATTCTTTTTCAAAACAATTAAGGTCATTAATTTGAATACCGAGAGGTTTAGAATCATTAAATCCTGTAAGATGATGCATCTTGGGGCCATAAAACGTATTTATTAAAAAGTAGGTCACAGTGACCTACTTTTTTAACTTTGCAGGCATTCAATTTCAAAGCGTTTTAGAGGCATAGTTTGGACATTTTAAGGCCTATGATCATAAAACTTTGTAAGTTGATGCATCTTGGGTCCTCGAAAAACATCAACTGAAAAGTAGGTCATCGGCTATGGCTATATTTAAATATTTAGGGTACTACAAGGTTTGTCTGGTAAAATCGTTGACAAGTTTTTCTCAAAAAATAATGGGCACTTTATGCTGAAATTTTCAGCAAATGTTTATTCATCATATTTAAGTGCATCTTAATTTTTTTTTTTTTGATAAAATATAGACAAAAATAAAGATTTTATTTTGCTTGAATGTGCACAGGATACGGTCCTACAGCACACAATAAAAAAAACAGGGTTTCCTTAGCAAATACACGAGTATTATTTCGAAATAAAAGTATTAAATAGATAAGGTTGGGGTAAAAATTATCTTATATTTAATCCACTATCTATTATTTCGTCTTTTGTAAAATATCAAGGCATTTGCTTAATTTTTGGCAGTTTACCAAGCATTTGAAATGGGAAAGTGGTAAACGCAACACACGAAAAATGGCAACGCTTGGTGATGTTACGGCACACCGGAGAGCAGTTCAGTTTGATTTAGATGTAGTAATGACGCCCTAAGAGATTTTGAATGTCTACAGAAGAAAAAAAACTTTTAAAAAAATATCAGTGAGTATACAAGTGAAATGGAAGTTTTCTTAGCGGAAGCTTTTTGTTCGGGTCCCCGGGTAGAACAAAACATACGGACAAACAGCTACTGGCAGTAGCAAAAGATGCTGTCACTGTAGACCGTCAATATAAGATAGCCTATTTAGTTGAATGATAGTGAGAGTACTGTCAATAACTTACTCATAAATCTTCAGAAGGTCCCATGTGTGTGCGAGATTGGTTCCTTGACTGTTTATGGAGGAATATAGGGAAAATCAAGTATGTGCATCAATGAAATCCCCAAATTTAAGTGGGGCTTATCGAACTTTTATTTAGCAAAGAGGAAACGTGATGCTGCTTTAGACACTTTGACGATATCATCCGTGTGCCGTAAGGCGATACCACACATAACAAAAAGTCTCATATTTTGTTTATTTGAGCAGATATCTAGTTGATATTTGCTATGTATATTGATGAAAAATGTACTAAAATGTAGCGAAAGTTTAAGAACGCAGTGATGATTATTTTTCAATCTGGACAACTTGTCACGATTTTACCGTACAACCATCGTATTTGGCTTAGAATCATCAAACTTTGTCAGTTGATGCATCTTTGGTCTTTGGAGTAGGTCGACTGAAAAGTAGGTCACGGTGACCTACTTTTGAAAAATTATGACTTTAATTAAATATTTCAGGTACTAATTGGCTTAGAATCATAAAACTTTGTCAGTTGATGCATCTTGGGTCCTCGGAGCACAACAACTGAAAAGTAGGTCACGGTGACCTACTTTTGAAAATTTATGGTTTTAATTAAATATTTCAGGTACTAATTGGCTTAGTATTATCAAACTTTGTCAGTTGTTGCATCTTGGGTTCTCTGAATATGTCTTCTGAAAAGTAGGTCACCATGACCTTCTTTTCAATTTATATGGCTATAATGAAATATTTCGGGTACTAATTAGCTTAGAATCATCAAACTTTGTCAGTTGATGTATCTTGGATCCTCGGAGTAAGTTGACTGAAATGTAGGTCACTGTGACCTACTTTTGAAATTCTATTGCTTTATTTAAATATTTTTTAGTACTAATTGGCTTAGAATCACTAAACTTTGTCAGTTGATGCATCTTGGGTTAGTCGACTAAAAAGAAGGTCACTGTGACCTATTTTTGAAATTTTATGGCTTTATTTAAATGTATCAGGTACTAATTTGTCTTAGAATCATCAAACATTGTCAGTTGATGCATCTAAAATGGGTCCTCAAAGTATGTCATCTGAAAAGTAGATCACTTTTTAAAAATATTTTAGGTATTAATTGGCTTAGAATCATCAAACTTAGTTGATGCATCTTGGGTCCTCAGAGAATGACAAGTGATAAATAGGTCACCATGACCTACTCTCAGGTTCTAGTTGGCTTAGAATCATCTTGGGTTCTCAGAGTGTTTCATTTAAAATGTAGGTCATGATGACCTACCTTTGAAATTTCAAGGCTTTATCTAAATATACAGGATACTTAGAGGCTTCAAATAGAAGTGACAGGTTGTATAGTTTATCGGAAGAGTGATTCAAGGCCTTTGGGCCTCTTGTTTTTTTATAATATTATAATTTGGATTTGTTACAAATAGAAGTGGCGAATCCGATGATCTACATTGCAAATTGGTATGGCCTAACGTGCAATGTATGATTTCTGTTAAGTCAGGCTCAGACTTTGGTCCAAAAAGTGGGTTGAAAGGCATTCAACCATTAAATTACTGACTATGCAAAAAGTTGAAGATGTCCTTACTTTTTAAGTGCAAAATTATACCCTATATTTGAAATTTTCCCTCTAAAATAGCAAATTGTGTTGGGTTTTTTTTGTGTGTCGGTATATTAACAAAGAGAATTTACCATATACATGGATGTCCTGATAATAGTGGACAATTCTGTGTATAACAAATAACCTGAACTAATAGTTCATGTCTGATATAGATGTGGATGTGACAAGTGCACCCCAGAGCTGTGTCCACGTGGTCTGAGGGTGCAGGTCCTGGAGGAGGGAACAGGGACCCCTGGGCATTGCTGCAGCAAGTTCAGATGTGTCAATGGTAGGGTGAAAATTTAATTTTCTTTAAGAATTTTCGTTGGAAACTCTGTAATAGTAACTTTGTAAAACTAACCACACATTTTTCTAAATATTTCAGTGATATACTGTTTTTAATGATACTACTTGACTCCCCATTTTATAAATTACACAATTTCCCTTTAAATTTATATGTATAATAGCAAAAGATTTCATTGTTGCTTTTCAATTTGACCATACATGTATTAGAATCATATTACACTAGGACATACGGTATGTCTACTTTGCCATTTTCATAAATGGCTGCTATTTTTCCACTAAAAATTGTTTTATAATTTTTTCACTTCACTTGTTCAGATTTTAACACGTACGTTCTTCATATTTTGTGTATGATAGCATGTGTGTAAGAATTTCATTCAATGACATAATGTTTGTTTGTTTATTGTTGTTTAATGTCCCTCTCAAGAATTTTTCACTCATTTGGAGACACCACCACTTGCCGGTGGAGAGCTGCAAATTTTGACCTATACTCGACACTTACGGCCATTGAGCAGTGAGGGATCTTTTTCGTGCCAGCACTTACTGCGACACGGAACCTCGGTTTATACGGTCTCATCCGAAGGACCGGTCTCCATGTCCCACAGTGGGATTCTAACCCGCGACTTAAGGATCAACTCCTTACTCCGCAACTCTAGAGCAAACGCTCTAACCACTGCGCCACGCGGGCGACCAATGACATAATACTGATGACAAATCAGGCTTAATACTTTAATTTATTATTTGTCCGCAAGGTAAAGATTTATAATTAACATCGTACTTGTCATACATTAATTTCCTCCATCAACAATTGGCTCAGGATGGTGTTATTTCTTACTCAGTCAATAAATTTTCACTGTCAATTTTGAAAATTTCAAAATCCTCAGTACATATTTGTTAAATATGTGAAAAACATGTTACCTGTACGAAATGTTCCACCTGGAATATAGGGGGAATAGAGGTGTACTTCGAGAAGGATGTCAGTTTGTCTCACTACATACATGCAGGTGGTATGGAGGTTTCGGGCGTAAACCAAGAGGAAACCAAGCGAATTGAGCAGGAATTTGAGGCGAAAAATGCAAATGAGTTACGCCCGGAAAAATAAATGACGCCTGGAAAAAAATAACACCTGGAAACTAAAATGATGCCTGAAGCCTATTATGCCTGGAAAGTCATTATTATTATATAATACTATGTGACCTAAAAACCTATATAGCCAAGAAAAGCAAAATTATGATTTACAATGTTAAAGTTGAAAATTTAGCCTTTTGAACTGTAAGAAAACATAATGACAAGTCATTAACATCTAAAATAGTATAAAAATATATTATATGAAAACTGTTTTATTTCTTTGCATGAGGGACACTGAGACATCAGGAGTGTAAAATAATGTCTATAAGAATTTGATAAACTTTTTAGCTCACCTGAGCCGAAGGCTCAAGCGAGCTTTTCTGATCAAAATTTGTCAGTTGTCTGTCGGCGGCGGCGTTGTAAACTTTTCACAATTTCATCTTCTCCAGAACCACTGGGCCAATTTCAACCAAACTTGCCACAAAGCATCCATGGGTGAAGGGGATTCAAGTTTGTTCAAATGAAGGGCCACACCCTCTTTCAAGGGGAGATAATAGAGAATTGGTGAAAAATTAATAGCATCTTTTAAAAATCTTCTTCTCAAGAACCACAGGGCCATGAAAGATGAAACTCATGTGGAAGCATCCTAAGGTAGTGTAGATTCAAGTTTGTTCCAATCATGACCCCCGGGGGTAGGGCGGGGCCACAATGGAGGATCAAAGTTTTACATAGAAATATATAGGAAAAATCTTTAAAAATCTTCTTCTCAAATACAGCAAAGCCATGATGAGTCATATTTATATGGAAGCATCCTCAGGAAGTGTAGATTCAAGTTTGTTCAAATCATGACCCCCGGGGTAGGGTGGGGCCACAATGGACTATCAAAGTTTTACATAGAAATATATAGGAAAAACCTTTGAAAATCTTCTTCTCAAGAACAGCAAAGCCATGATTGGTCATATTTATGTGGAAGCATCCTCAGGTAGTGTAGATTCTATTTTGTTCAAATCATGGGGGGGGGGGGGGGGTGTAGGATAGGGGGCCACAATGGAGGATCAAAGTCTTAAATAGAAATATATAGGAAAATATCTTCTTCTGAAGAACTGCAAAGCCATGATAAGTCATTTTGATATGGAAGCATCCTCAGGTAGTGTAAATTCAATTTTGTTCAAATGATGACCCCGGAGGTAGGGTGGGGCCCTACCTCCTTCAAAATTATAAGAGAAATATTTAATACCCCATGTAAGTCGCAACGAAACAAGCAAATTTTTTCTATCAAAGTGAAAGATTTTTATTTCATTTTTATTTTAAAAAAAAGGTGTTTCAGCAATAATATCTACAACATGTTGGATAACTCAAACGATAAAAAATAATCTTGAATTCAGTAATTTACCACAATGAAGATTATGATATGACGTATTATTTAACTCTGAATTATTTTTTGAAACAAAAAAAATAAAAACAAATATGAAATGAATTTTGCAGGGCTCGAAACCACGTACTTAAGTATTCAAACAGGGAAATGTTTCATTATTTTAAAGACAATGCTTAATCCCCGAGTCTTGGAACTCTCAACTGTTTTAATTGATGTAAATAAAACCAATATACCCCAAATTACTTATATCAAGGCGACAGATAAAAATAAGAGAATAATTTTCACTTTTGGTCCCTTACACATGAAACGTGTATGAATGTTTTGTTTTTAATCGGGAGAGGAGATGTGACTGATCCCGCATTATTTTTCCGAAAAGAAGTCTCTTAATGTTAATTTAATACGGATTTTTTTTAAAAAGGCTGGCCCCCGAATTTCTGTTGCAGTATGGGTGGACACCCCCACCACCACCACCACCACACACACATTACATGTAAGAAAGTTTTTGAGTGCGGATAATTTTTTAATTTAGGTTTTTCTGGGAATTTTATTTTTTGGCTAGTCAATTATATTTTTCTGCCCCCACCCTAAAAGTCAATTATTTTCTGCCCCCTTCCCCAGTTTGAAAAGTGATCTGACGGGCCTGCATTATGAAAAAGAAGAGGAAGTTAAAATTTTCAAGGGCAAAATTCAGGTGCTTTTTGATGAGGTGGAAAAAAAAGATTATCGAACATTGTAACTAATGTTGCAAAGAAGAGGGCTTGGGATAACATTTGTGAAAAAAAAGAAGATTTTTAGGTCACCTGAGTCACTCAGTCGTCGTCCGTCTTGCGTTAACATTTAAACATTTTCAGCTTCTCTGAAACCGCTCAACCAATTTCAGCCAATTTTGGCATATAGCATCTATGGGTTAAGGGGGACAAAAATTGTGAATTTCATGGTCCCTGCCCCCCTGGGGCCTGAGGGGTGGGGCTAAAACCACCAAAATTAATGCAATCTTTAAAAATCTTCTTCTTTACTCGTGGACATCAAGCAGTCAAACTGTTGACATGATTGTAATAAGCATTGAACCCTCTACCAAAATTGTGAAATTCATGGCCCCAGGGTCAGGGTTCTGGTGCTAGGACGGGGCTATATAGATCATATAGTGAAAGTGTATTATTTCTTTGAAAATCTTCTTCTCTACTTCTGGGTATTATTGAAACAAATTGAATACATATTTATGATAAGCAAGGGTGACTCTACCAAAATTGTGAAATTCATGGCCCCAGGGTCAGGGGTTCTGGTGCTAGGGTGGGGCTATATAGATCATATAGTGAAAGTGCATTATTTCTTTGAAAATCTTCTTCTCTACTCCTGGGTATTATTTAAACAAATTAAATACATAGTTATGATAAGCAAGAGTGACTCTACCAAAATTGTGATATTCATGGCCCCATGGTCAGGAGTTCTGGTGCTAGGGCGGGGCTATATAGATCATTTAGTGAAAGTGCATTATTTCTTTGAAAATCTTCTTCTCTACTCCTGGGTATCATTTAAACAAATTGAATACATAGTTATGATAAGCAAGAGTGACTCTACCAAAATTATGAAATTCTTGGCCCCAGGGTCAGGGGTTCTGGTGTTAGGGCTGGGCTATATAAATCATATAGTGAAAGTGCATTATTTCTTTGAAAATCTTCTTCTCTACTCCTGGGTATTATTGAAACAAATTGAAATCATAGTTATGATAAGCAAGGGTGACTCTACCAAAATTGTGAAATTCATGGCCCCAGGGTTAGGAGTTCTGGTGCTAGGGCGGGGCTATATAGATCATATAGTGAAAATGCATTAATGCTTTAAAAATCTTCCTCTCTACTCCTGGGTATTATTTGAACAAATTAAATACATAGTTATGATGAGCAAGGATGCCTCTTCCAAAATTGTGAATTTCATGGACCCTGGATCAGGGGTTCTGGTGTTAGGGTGGGGCTCTATTTATTATATAGTGAAAATGCATTAATGCTTTAAAAATCTTCTTCTCTGCTCCTGGGTATTATTTAAACAAATTAAGTACATTGTTATGATAAGCAAGGATGCTTCTTCCAAAATTATGAAATTCATGGCCCCAGGTACAGGGGTTCTGGTGCTAGGGCGGGGCCATATATATCCTATAGTGAAGGTGAATTATTTCTTTAAAAATCTTCTTCTCTGCCCCTGGGTATTATTTAAACAAACTATTAGTATATTGTTATGATACGCAAGTATGCCTCTTCCAAAATTGTGAATTTCATGGCCCCAGGGTCAAGGGTTCTGGTGAAAAAAAGGGTGGGCTCTATTGATTTTATAGTGAAAAAGCAAAATTTCTCTGAAAATATTCTTTTCTGCTTCTGGTTAAAAAGCAAAGAAGCTAAGTGTATAGTTATGATGAGCAAGAGTGCTTCTTCCAGAGTAGTGAATTGCATGACCCCTGGGTCAGATGTGCTGGTGTAAGGGTGGGGCTCTTGATAATATAGTGAAAATGCATTTATTCTATTAAATAATCCTGTCTGCTCCTTAGTGTTAAG